CCGAAAACTAAAAAATAAATAAAAAAATATTTTGTTTTACTTGTAGGTGGACACAATACCTTTGTTTTATTTTTAAATAAAACTGAGGATCAAACTTAGGGCTCTCTAGATGAGCGCTCTACTGCTGAGCCACAACTCCAGCCCCCCAGCCCTTTATATTTCTTAATTTTTTTAAATTTATTTTTTAGTTGTATTTGGACACAATACCTTTATTTTATTTAATTTTACAGGGTGCTAAGGATTGAACCCAGGGCCTTACAAGTGCTAGGCAAGTGTTCTACCACTGAGCCACAACCCCAGCCCAATACATTTTTTGATTTTGAGACAAGGTCTCACTAAGTTGCTGAATTTGGGATCCTCCTACCTCAGGCTCTCAGATTACAGGCATGTGCCACTGTGACCACCATGAAGTGAGATTCTTTGGGGACAGTTACCAGAGATCGAACTCAGGGACACTCAACCACTAAGCCACATGCCCAACCCTATTTTGTACTTCATTTGAAGACAAGGTCTCACTTTAGTTTTTTTTAATATTTACTTTTTAGTTGTAGTTGGACACAATACCTCTACTTTATTTACTTATTTTTATGTGGTGCTGAGGATGGAACCCAGGGCTTCATGCGAGCCAGGCTAGCACTCTACCACTCAGCCCCAGCCCCAGCCCGGCACTTTAGTTGTTTAGTGCCTCACTGTTACTGAGGCTGGCTTTGGACTCACAATCCTTCTACCTCAACCTCCTGAGCCACTGGGATTACAGGCGTGCACCACCACACCCCCGCATGAAGTGAGATTTTTAACCTCCAATTAACAGGTGGAAAAAACTAAGGTTCTGGGAGATGGAGTGTCACACTCAGCTTGTGTGAGCTGAGCCCTGAATTCAGAGCCAGGTCTGCTAACACTGGTGCCAGGCACAAAACCGAGACTTTACCTGGCAGAGGGAACCCAGCCTAGAGAAAGGGAGCAAGGCCAATTCCCACTCCAATCCCAGCTCAACTGACCACTACCATGGCAGCCCAGCTTCTGCACTGCAAGAGACCCTAGTCCCACCCCAGGCCCCTGCCACCAACCTTATCCATCTTGCAGGGCTGTCTTTAGTGACCCCACTGCCTAGCCTGGAAAGCACACAAGGACAGTTCCCTGCCTGGTTTACAGGTCGGTACAGGATGGAGCCAGATGAGTATATGAAGGTGGGTGTCTCAGTCACTGAGGCGCTGATTGCCCTTTGGCTAAGAGATCTCCAATCACCTTCCCCAGGGGCCAGTGCATGTGTGTGTGTAAATGTGTGTGCAACTGTGACTGTGCACAAGGACAAGGATGTGTGAGTGGTGGGGACGTACACGTGGAGCGCGTTCTTGCGTAGGGGAGTGTGAATGAAGGTGCGCGTGATCGGATCCTACCGCCGCGGCTCCCACAGAGGCCACCCAGGGCGCAGACAGGGACCTGTGCCTCCGTGTACTCTGCCCTAGATAAGCCGGGAGAGGCGGCCCAGCCTTCTTCAGCCAGAGTCCTTGTCCAGCCGCGAGGCCACCAGTGCCCTCTCCCTGCCCTCTGCACCCCCATCCCGGCCCCGCGACCCCCAGATGAGGAGTTGGGGTGAAGAGGCGCAGGTCCTCGAAGCTAGGGGCTCGGGCGAGGCACGTGACTTCTGTGAGCCTGGGGTCTGACTCCGCGAGACGCCAGGAATGGAAAGCGTTCCTGGGCGCAGCTCCGGGAGCCTGGTCATTGTCGTTAAATGAGTGTTGTTGACTTGGAGCCCTCGCTCCGGAAGCCTCCCTGCCCCGCGCCCCTCCCCTGACCTTCAGCTGCGGACACCGGGCGGTGCGGCAGGCCGAGGGCCAGAGGTCCCCGCTCGGCGGCCCGCGGACCCAGTCCCCAGCGCGGGCGGCAGCGGCTGCAGGTGCGCGGTGGGGGCGGGGCCCCCGCGCCGCCCCCGCCTCCCGGGCCCCGCGCTCCGGCCCCCGCCCCGCGCCCCGCTGTGTCGCCGGGCCCTGGCGACAGCGGGCGCGGCGCGGGAGGCGGCGGCGCGAGGCGAGCGGGACGCAGCGGCGGCGGCAGCAGCGGGGACGACCCGGCGGGAGCAGAGGCCGAGCCGCGCGGAGCCCGCGCCCCTGTCACCCGCCCGCCGTGCCCCGGCCCCCGCCCCGCGCCAGCGCCGCGCACCCCCGGCCGCGGAGACATGAGCGCCCCGCGGCCCGACGCACCCGAGGCGCAGCGGCCCGGCCCCGAGGCCCCGTGATGGGCTCCTGCGTGTCGCGAGGTGAGGGGCGGCGGCCGGGGGTGGTGGGAGTGGGGACCCGCGCGGAGCCTGGGCCACTCGGAGGAACCCGGGACGGGGCCCGCCCTTCACGGACCAGCCGCACCCCCAGCGGACGCGGTGCCCATAGGGGACAGGATTTGGGAGGGGTGGGGACGGTGCGGAGAGAGCGCGAGGAGGTCACTGCATCCCGGCCCCGCTTCGCACCTGGCAGGTGGTGAGAAGCAGGGTCCCCAGCCACGCTTTCCTCCCAGCAGCCACACACCCCCTGCCGCTGCCTGGGAGGGGAGGCAGGCTTCTGACTCCTCTTTAGAGATTTCGGGGCACCAGGAGAACTAGCAGACCCCCTCCCTGTCCCCAGACCCAGGCCTTCTTAGCCCACCCCACCCCAGCTCCTTCCTCCCCTCCTCGGGCCCCTGTCCCTGAACCCATTGGCAGGAAGGGTTAATGGTGAGGAACAGGTTATAAAGGAGGTCCCTCCCTCACCCGCATCCCTAACTCCTGGTTCCTGCCCCCTTCCTTGGTCAGGGGACAGGAACAGAGGGCAATTGATATTCCTAGTAACCGCTGGGCCTTTCTCTGGTCTCTGCCGTCACACCCCAGCTCTCCCCAGAGTGGTGCCAGGGATCCACAGTGACCTGCCCTCATCTGGGGGCCGCCTGTCCTTGAGGGTTAGAGTCATGCATAGAGGCTAAGGGGGCAGGGTGGGCTTGGGAGCCTCCTTTCCCAACAAGCTGCTGAGCAAGATTGCAGGAAAAGGGACCAGGTGGAGCTCCCTGACCCCCAGACCCTTCACCCCACAGTGGGACCAGGGGCAGGGCTGGGAGTGGGGGTGTCTTTGGCCTTGTCTCAAGCTCTACAGGCTGAGGCCACTTTGTCTGACCCCAATCACAAGTTGTTCCGGGGCTACCACCCCACCTGTCACCCCAGTAGCTTCTTCAGGTGCTTGCGGAGGAGCTAAGCAGGCCCTGGAGGGGCCCTCAACATCTGGGGGAGGCTGAGGAAGAAGCACAGTATCCCTTCTCCACCCTCCAGACTCTGAGGGGCTCTGCTCACTAGTTCATGGGACATTCAGGAAAGTGACTCAGGACGTCTCTGGAAGGTGGGATCACAAGTGGGGGAGAGGAAGGAGCAGCTGACTGTGTGGGGCTCGATCGCCCTTCACCAGGCTGATACCACCTACACCGTGCCAGGCGCTGTAGGGAACCCCATCGAGGGACCCAGCACAGCACCTGTTCTGTGGGGCCAGCGGCCGGGAGGGAGGAAAAGCAACCATCAGAGCAGAGTTGAAGGTTCTCTAGGAGTCACAGCTCTTAGCGTCCCAGACGTCCCCATGGGATCTGACCATCTCCAGTGGGACCAGCTTGGGTGGTGGAGATTAGGGTATTTCCTCAGCGACTGTGTTTGTTCTCCACGACTCGGCCATCTCGTGCCGAGTGCCATGGACACCCAGCCACAGATGAACTCATCTGTGCGCCGAGGACCCACTGAGCAGAGCCAGGGAGGAAGAGATGCCCGTCAAGGTCAGGCTGAGGCTGAGGCCTGAGTCCCCTGACCCGCACCTGGTGCTCCCCCCACAGCACCCTCTGCCAGGGTTGTGTGAGGTCACACTGGCTGAAGTGACCTTCTGCACCCTCCCTTTTGCATCACGGATTTCCTGAGTGCCACCCCCCATCTAGTTGTATATTCCAACCTTGTCCCTCTCCTGAGGGAATGAGCCACTTAAGAGTTTTGACACATACCCAGGCAAGTTGGATAGAGGAGGGGAACTAGAGAGACAGAGGGTGACCAGTGTTCCAAAGCCACTGAATGGAGGCCACCCCCTCCAATTGTCACTAATTGGGTGCTTACAGCTAACCAGGTACTAGTCTGAAAATTTTAGGGACAAACAGCTAACCTGGGTTATATACTACCATAGTCCCCATTTTATAAATAGGAAAACTGAGGCAGAAGGCGGTTGAATGACTTGCCTAGGGCCAGGAAGCCAGGAAACAGCAAAGCCAGCTCCCTGGCACTCTGACTCCAGAGCCTCGGGGTCCTGAGTCTTGGCATTGCCCAGCTGTCCCTCGGCTCCTTGCTGGCACCTGTCCTATTCCCCTTGAGCTGCTGGCTGTGGGCCTGAGCCCCTGCAGCGGGTCTCCACACTGCACCAGTTGCTAAGAACATCTTCTAAGTGCCAAGGTCAGAAGCATAGCCTCAAGTGGAGGCCAGGGACCATGAACCTTGTACTGATGGCCACAGCGAGTTTGGCTTCCTCACACAATTGGCGCTACTCAGGCCAGGCCCCACCTGAGAGAGCCATGCTGTGCAGCTGGTGGCTTCTGCCTCCCAACCTGCTAGGCTGGAGTCCCTGCCACTCCCTAGCTCTGTGATCCCAGCCAGTGTGTGTGCACCTCAGTGTTCTCATCTCTAAAATGGAAATGCAGCAGTGTCGTAGTTATGGATTGCTGGGGGCAGGGAGTGGCTTAATTCATGTAAAACACCGTTGCCAGGACCTGCCACGTGGTCGGCGCTCAGGAGTATTAGCTGTTACGCCCATTTTTAATTTGTCTGAGCAGCTCTGTGCGCACAGCTAGCCCAGACCTTCCCGGGTGGACCGGGGAGCCGTAGAGGCAGAGCTCTGGCCTTCCTCTGTGGGAAGGAGCAGGGCTGGCCCTAAGGACAGGGCAGAAGTGATTGGGTCCAGTTTAAGGCAACAAACGCAGTTTCCAGGAGCTTCTTTGTGTTCGTTACCTATTTTTAAGCTATCATTTGTTGGGAGTGTCTCCTGAGCCGCGCTGAGCCTTTGCTCTCCTGACCTAGTTAGTTCTCCTTCAACCCTGGGAGGGGGAAGTGGGGCTCAGAGACGTGCAGAGCCTTACCTCGGGTCACCCAGCCAGGGCATGGAGAGACCGATTGGAACCCAGGCTGTGAGGGGCTGGGAGCTGAGTGGGGAGCCCCTGCTTTTTGCTTTCTTGTGTCCCCCCATAGACAGGTACTCGGTGCTTAAAACCAACCTTCTGGAATAACTCAAATGGCTCACATTTGGCTGGGGCTCTGCCACCACTGCCATTATCAAACTGCCCATCCCGTGCCCTTGGCCCAGTAACCTTATCCCTCCTGTCCCTGTCCTCTCCCCCACACCAACTGGTCAGCCTTCTGGCCCCACCCTGGAGGTCACCAGTACACTGGGCACCAAGAGGCTGCAAGAGCAGAAATGGGAGAATGAGGATTTTCTTCTGGAAGGTCAGACATCCATTCCGTCTAAACGGAAGCACAGGCTCTAAGGGGGCCAGGCAGAGCCACCTACAATACCCACAGTCCCCAGTCCCTGTCCGGAAGGTCGTGGCATTGCTGGTGAGCAGTCTGGTACTGGGCACCGTGGGGAGAGTGAGGAGAGGGCAGAGGGGACCTTGCCCTTTAGGTGCTCAGAGTGAGGAGCGAGATAGAGCCTTGGCTTTGGAGTAGTGAAATGGGGGAGGCAGGACACACACACACTCACACACTCACACTCTCACACACGCACACACACTCACACACACTCACACACACACACAGTGGCGTGAGGCCACTCCCTGGAGATCAGCCCTGCTTAGTGACTGGAGAATGTGCTTTGGAGTTTCAGACTGGCCTAGGTTTGAGCCCAGCTCTGCCACTTGCCATCTGGTGAACTTGCATTAAGGCTTCTCCGAGCCTCAGTTTCCCCATCTGTGCAGTGGGCATGGTGGTGCCTGCTTTGTAGCATAGTTGTGAAGATTCAATGAGAGGTGACAGGGGAAGGCCTAGGACAGCACTTGGCGCAGTCGGCATGTGATCCACAGTGACCCGCTGCCAGACCTGGCTCTTTAGGGCTGCCCGTGAGGGAGGCACCTGATACAGGAGGCCCAGCTGCCCGGAGGAGGTGAGGCTGGAGCAGGGCGTCCCCGAGGCTGGTGCCAGCTGGTAGGGAAAGTGGGAAGGAGCCGGGCGTATGCGAGTCCTTGGTAGGAAGTGGAGAGGGACCCCCCTGAGCATCTCGGAGCTGTCGTCATGGCTCAGGTGACTGGTAAACAAATGTCCCAGGGAGCAGAGGACACTCAGTCCACTTGAGACCCAGCATCTGCTAAGCTCCGCGACCTGCTCCCTGGGCAGGCGGTGACTCACCAGGCAGAGGCCAGGGACCCCGGGGCCAGTTCCACCCTGGGGTAGGACTAGACAAGTGGCTCGTGGTCCAGGAGAAACCGAGGGACAGGGATGGGGCAGCTGCCTCGAGAGAGCGCTTGCCGCAGCAGGGGCTCGGCCGCAGCCCCTGGGCCCACGTCTCGTCCCACAGATGAGAAGCCCAGGTGCCCGGGGGCAGCACGTGCCCAGCCCAGGGGCTGGCAGGGAGAGCGGGCAGCCCCTGAGAGCAGTGCCTCTGCCCCCCTTCTCCCAGAGCTGAGGACAGAGCTGCCCGTCACAGCTGGTGGCACGCGCCTGCAGGGGGGGCTGGAGGCGTGGCCTAGTGCATTTGGCCACAGGTGCCCTGAGGAGCCTGGAGGAGGGCCGGTGGCAGGCTGGGGAGTGGCAGCGTGGCTTTGGGCCCAGGTTGCTGTTTGAGCCCTCGCTGGGCTTCTGGGAAAGAGCAGGGCTGAGCATGGCACCCTGTGCCCTCCCCGAGTGCAGAGCCCTGGGAGACTCTGGGAGCAGATGGCAACCACGGTGACTAATAGGCTGGGACGCAGAGCCCCAGAGACCAGCTGCGGGCACTGGGTGACTCTGAGGAAGATGCCCGAGGGGTTGGGGCTGTGCTGCAAACTCCCCCAGGGAACAAGCAGAGAAGGCCAGTACCGGAGCGTTGCAGCAAGAGGGGTTTAGGTTAAACATCAGGATGAACTGTCCAGGTGGTGAGACTGGAAATCTGATAGAGGACCCCAAGTAGGAAGGCCGGAAGCATCCTGGCTAAGTCGAGGGGAAGCTCTGGTTGAGGACAGAGGGATGGAGGAGGCATCTGGATGAGGGGGCTCTCCTTGAAGGATCAAGATGGCCCTCCATGTTGCTGAGGC